CTCTGTCTCTTGCCCCGTCGGGCCAGCGCCCCCGACGCGCTCTCAACCCGACAAGTCGCCAAGTCTCGAGAATACCGGGTTGGCTCCCTACGATCTGGGGAGGCTGACTATCTCCTTGGAAGACCGAGGGTCACAGGTCCTGGGGCTGCAGGAGACCCACGACATCCTACACCCGTAGCCAGCCAAAGTTGGGCGACTCGTGCCCAGAGATTTCTTCTCCTGAAGGAGGACATTAGAGCTGGGTAGGGGCAATTAGTCAGTCCAGGAGCAGATTTGCGCCCTAGGGAAGGAAATGGATTAAAGGGGCCAGGGAGGGTAGCAGAGAGGTCACCAGAGAGGGTCTGAGGTGGAGAAAACTAATGGAGTCCGTAGGCAGTACTCAGTGAGAGCTGGGAACTAGGAACTACGTTAGGTTTGCCATCCGGGGCCAAGATGGGGTTATCTAGGAAGAAATTAATTAAAATTATCTGGAAGACTTGAAGGTCTTAATGTCCTGGGCACTAGATAGAGTAAGTGAGAAGTGAAAACATGTCTCTCTTCCTTCTGGATTATGCGGGGCCATCTGGGGAGGGGAGAAAAACGGCCTCAGAGTGCTCAGGATGGGCCTATAGCTCATGCCTGTGAAGTGGATGGGCCTATGGCTTGTGGGTGAGCCTATAGCTAATGCCTGAGAAGTGGGTGAGCCTATGGCTCATGCCTGTGAAGTAGGCCTAGGTTCTGCATAGGTGTGTCTTGCTCTCAGTCTAGGTTCTGCTTTGTCTCTCCTCTGTTGCCCGAGGCAAGACTCTTGCCTTCTTGGGTTTTCTCCATCAGTGGCATGCTCCCTGGGATCCTCCACAGCCCATAGAATCTGTGGTTTTAGAGGCTCTAGAACCATTCTCCTTACCCCTGCGCCCTCCACAGGGAACCAGGTGCTGGTAAAGGGCAAAATCACCCTGAAGAGGCCAGTGCTCAAGGTGGAGGGAGTCAGAGAACAGACCAGTGCCTTTGTACAATTTTCCTAGCCTCCACAGCAATGCTGTTGTCACTCATAAGCAGAGCAAGTGAGTTTGTGAGAGAGTAAAGGAGCAGTGAGACCAGGCTGAGTCCTCGAAAATGGCAGGGAGACCTGCAGAGCTACCAGATAGATCCTCTGCCTTCTGAATGGACAGTTAGGGCCCTGGCTCAGCTCCAGGCAGAGCCTTAGGCCAGATCATGACTGGCTGGGTCAGTCCTCACAGGGAATGTAGTCTCCTTCACGAGCAAAGGATGGTCGTGCACACAGTATCATCACAGCCCTGCACACAGTATCATAGCACAGACAAGGAGGAAACCAAGCCAAGCTTAAAGGATAACTTGGTTGTCATCAGAGCTCAGAAGACACACACCGTATTAAGGAGGTGGAGAGCTCCTTAAAGCAGCTCAGTGACGTGCTGCTTTCCATGCAGAATGGGATTGACCTAGGTGACCTGCATTGCTTAACAGAGTTTCTTCCATAGATGACCAGTTCTGTTTCAGGGCCAAAAGCTACTGTGCACCCTAAATGTGTGAACAGCTCTGATCTCTAGGATCCTAGGATATGGTACCATTTCTTCCTAATCTCATATTTACAGGCACACCTTTCCATCATTCAGGTTGTAACATAAGGAAACCAATTGACTTCATAGCTCACTTTAATGCCAGCAAATGGGTAAATGAAGAAGAAATTGAAAAGAGCACCTTCCTTAGATTAGAGCCAACTGCTGATAAGCAAGGCAGGGCTGTTTTGTTTACTAAAGATGCAGAGGTGGGTGAAAACAGGGTCCTGAGGCTGCCAGCCAGTCCTATCACAGACCTAAGCTAGGCGTAGGGGACAAGTATTTGGAAAGTCTGAGTGTCCTAGGCTGGTGGGGCCAGGAACATTGGAGAGTCAGTTCAGGGAAGGGCAACAGGTGCCAGAGAGTGGCCTGGGTTGAGTTATGAGGCCACCATTGATACCAGCTATGCCGGCGATGAACAGTGCCAGGCCAGCTTAGACATATCCCCTGCACAGTCCCTTGCATGCCATCAAACAGGCCTACAGGTCTCATGTCTTCTGCCCCTACTGCTCAAGATGTGTCCTTGATACTTATATTTGTAGGTGCTCGTGTAGCTCTCACCAAAGCTCTACCAACCCGAGGCTCCATGGTTTCCCCAGAGTCCCCAGTACCTATCAGAATGTCTCAGGCATGGTTGTCATCACCTGGAAAAAAACAAGGTCCTTGGCCATGGGCTGGGGAAAACCTAGGGTTCTGTCTCCCTGGCCAGACTTTCTGCCCCCTTGACTAACACTGGTATGCCTCTCTGTGCACACACACGCGCGTGTGTGTGTGTGTGTGTGTGTGTGTGTGTGTGTGTGTGTGTGTGCATGTGTATATATGCATGCACCTTGGACTGGAAAGTTACCTCAAAGATTCCTGGGATGCCTTTGCACCCTTTATGTTATCTATGAATATAAGTAATATGCCTCCCAATAATGCCCTAGTGTTTTTCAAATATATGTAAGTGCATGTGTGGTGAATAAAATAGAAATATTCCATTAAAAGCTTGCTGGAAGTAACAATTGCATACAGCCCAATTGGTCATAGTCTTTGATTCACTATCTCTTGTCATCATCATCCCACACACAGCCTAACTTTATTTTACGCTCTTTTCCTTTATGGAGGTTTGTGATCATAATGAGCTGGCGGCCCAATCTGGAGCAGATATTACCAGTCATCCCCATATTTATCCATGCATGCCTTCCCAGAGGAAGCATTCTCTTGAATGTCATATTTGTCACTCCCTAGCTCTTCCTTCTTTTTGTTCAGTTTTTCCACATGTAAGATTCTCTGAACAATTGTGAGTGTGGTTTTGCTTGGTTTCACACGTTTTAGTCATTGTGCATTCTTCTAGCTAGTGGGAACAAGATAAGAGACCACTCACATGAGGGGATTAGAGAAGCAATTTCTGCAGGCGGCAGACACCCTAACAGTTTATATGTCCACCCCAGGGCCATGGCTAATGAGGGATGATGTGTTCCCACAGCCGCTGCTAGGCAGCGTCACCAACGATGCTCTGGGTGAATATTTAATGGCAGGGAAGCACTCACTCTCAGTTATTAGAGAAAACAAGTTAGAAAGCTATGGACACAATCATAGCTCATTTCTGGTGAAAAAAAAAAACAAAATGAGAAAACTCCAAAATCCCAAAACACAACATAAGGCTCTGTGGACGATGAACTCCCAAGGGATACAAAAAACCATCAAAATTGTTGGGCTGTGAGATAATGAGTTCATATCAAACAGATTATCCAAGAAATTTCGTATGAATAGTGTGGGTGCCTTTGTCAGTAGTTGGAGACCTTAAAAATTAGTCAGGGAGGGCAGCTGTCAAAGAGGAGGACCTTCTCCCTGAGCTCAGGTTGGGGGTGGGGCATCTGTGCCACCTTTTCAAACAGAGAGATGTGCAAGGAGGGCAGAGAGGTGCCAGAGTGTCTTTGAACAGTGGTGTTGCCTCAGGTGACAAGGGCTAGAGGGGCTGGGACTCCTGAAGTAAGGAACCTCTGGTCCTATCTATGTCTGCTAGACATGGCCCGCACTGTCTGTACCACTGCTGAAGTCTATGTGCCACTTACACAGACTTAAACCTTATTTCTGATAGGTGGAGAAGCAGAGGCATGGACTGATGGTGCCCCTCCAGGTTCACATGCTGAAATCCGAAGTCCCTGGACTTCAGATTGTGGCCTTAATTGGGTCTGGGGTTTTTAAAGAGGTGATTCAAATAATATGAATGGTATTTTGAGGGGCCTTCTAAGGTGAGGAGATGGGACAGTCTCAGAGGGAAGACCTTGTGAGGACAGGAAAGGTCTGCAAGCCAGCCAGAGAGGCCTTGGAATAACCAACCCACGCCAACAGGCCCTTCCAGACTCCAGAATAGGGAGAAAATGAATTTGAATCCATCAAGCCACCCAGGGCAGTGCTTTGTCATAGCAGTCCTGGAAACTCATATAGACAGGTGACTTTCCCAAAGCCCCACACTGCTAGGTGTATTAGCTGGAACAGGTGTGCTCTGTGACTCTGAGAGCTGAGTTCTGCACAGCCCCACAGTAGAGATGTAGGTGGTAGGATTTAATTCTTTGATGCCTGCCTTTGGTTGTGTTTAGATGTCCAGGGCTGGCTAGCACTCCTGTCCCCTTGAGACCTGACACAGGCTCTGAGCCACAGAGCACCTTAACCCTACCCAGTTCTCCCTATCCTGGAGCTCACTCTGTAGACCAGGCTGGCCTTGAACTCACAGAGATCTGCCTGCCTCTGCCTCTTGAGTTCTGGGATTAAAGGCATGCACCACCACCAACCAGTTTACCGGCCCCTCTTTCCCGGCTGTTCCTATGAACCAGCCCCTGGAAGTTCAGGAGGGGGGTGGGGCCCTAGAGATCCCTCCTTAGGGCCCACCACTCAGCATCCTGCAGCGCTTTCCCTGACAGTGTGAATCAGCTTCAGGAAGCCCCAGAGGGTCAGACCCCAGAGCCTGGCTGCTGTTTCACAGGGCCATACTGGGATGAAGCCTGTAGCCACGGCAACCAGAGATGTTTTTACACCTTCTGCTAGTCTTGCCTTTTGACTGAGTTTGAAAGCAGAAGGGTCATCCTCACTTTGGGCTCCCAAATACACCAGTCTAGCCAGTTTTTTTTTTCAGGTGCCCATGCAGGGACAGTGAGCAAGAAGAGGCCTTCTAGCCAAAATCTTATCATTGATAAAGAGACCAGAGCTCAAATACTATGGGATACTATGCAAAGACCATGATGAAGACGCCAAGTCAGGCCTTGGAGCCAGGGCTCTGTGTGCTACCTGAGCTTCCTTGCTCAAGCTCCAGGGCTCCCTTCAGCATCCAGGACTACTGCAGGATGGGGAGGGGTGGCGAGAGGCATGTGTACCTGAAAGGTTGATGGGTGTCCGGGTCCTGTGACAGTGCTGTTCCAAAAGTGCCCACAGGGGCTGGTCCTGGGGCACCTGGCCTGGTCTGACCACCTAGGAGAGCAGAAGTGAGGGTTATTGGCCAGGCCAGGCTGGCCGTTGACAGTGTATGTCTGCTCCCACCTAGTAGAGGGACAGCTGAACAGGAAGATTCTCAAGTGCCCTTGGAAAGCAGAGCTTTGGTCTCACCTGTAGCCTCACAAAGGCTGGGGTCTGGGAAGGAATAGCTCTGAGGCAAGAGGCTGCTCCTTCCCTTAGCCCCAAAGCTGGTTCCTCCCCGACTAGAAGAAATGCACAAAGGCCAGTGCCCTGTGCTCTCTCACCAAAGTCCCCAGAAAATACTTCCAGATGGCTTCTCTGTGTTAGGCCCTATGATGACCTAGGTGTCCCAGCCAGGGTGGACACATCCTAAGCTTATAGAGAAAACAGAGGTGGGAAAGACAGGCTGCAGTTTAGCTTTTCTGCCCCAGACATATGGGAGAGACACAAAGAGCCTTATGTTAGTTAATACATGGGAGAGATAACTAATGAGGTCCTGGAGGGCTTCCTGCAGGAGGAGGAGTTGGATGATAATGAAAGGATGAGCAGGCAAGAGGGAATAGGACTATAGCGCCAGTTCAGACTCCCGTTAGGGAGTAGACGTGACAGTGGAAATCCAACCTAGAAGACAAAGCCATGTAGGACCCATCTTCCAGTGACTGTCAGGCACAGTGGATAAAACAGATATGAGCACATTTGCCATGAATGGGGGCATTCTCTCTCTCTCTCTCTCTCTCTCTCTCTCTCTCTCTCTCTCTCTCTCTCTCTTGATTTTGTATACAGGTGTTCTGTCTGCATGTATTCCTGCAGGCCAGAAGAGGGCACCAGATCTCATTGCTGATGGTTGTGAGCCATCATGTGGTTTGCTGGGAATTGAACTCAGGACCTCTAGAAGACCAGCTAGTGTTCTTAACCATGGAGCCATCTCTTCTGCCCTCCAGAATGGGGGCAGTTTCTGGTGAGAATGATGGATTAGTGACCAGCTTTCCTGAGGGAAGCCAGGATAGCAGCATGGAAGAGATCATGATGGAATGGGTTTTGACATGTGAATAGGAGTTTGCTTAGCTAATAAGGGTCCCTGGCTAAGTGGGGAGCACAGCATGAGCAAAGGCAGAAGTAGAAAACAAGTGGTGTAAGGCTGGATTCGAGCAAAGCACTCTAAAATCATAAGCTTGCCTCCAGCTCCTCCCAAGACCACGCTTCTCTTACTCTGCAACTGGCATGCAAGTGCGTGTTCTTGTGAGGCTGTGTGCGCATGTGCACACTTTTGGGTTCCTCCCAGCCCTGCTACTTTTGAGTCGGAGGCTGCAGAAGGTGTTGTTCCCTTTGCAAGCAGCTATCTCTCTCTTGCTTGTCAGGGTTACTTTTCTGGACAGCTAGCCACTGGATGTTTGCCCCTGGATGTCCCCACAGTCACAAGCCCTCAAATATTGCATTTAGTCTACTTCCTGGGCTGGGGCTGAAGGATGAGCACTTGGTCTCCTTGTGCTGGCTTGGAGCTGCTGCTGAATAACCCACCACTCAGATGGGGAGCTTGTGCCCACATCACTTACTGGAACCTCGAGGGCAGCCCTGGGTGCCCAGAGAAATTTGGGGCAAGGACAGGGGAAAGTGTGTGTGTGTGTGTGTGTGTGTGTGTGTGTGTGTGTGTTGAGCTGTTAACCTTAAGCAAGCTCTTGCCTTATGCCTCCAGGACATAAGGGGCCAGGGATTCTGTGCACAGGCTCTGCTGGCTGCTGGGAGCTCCTTAACACCAGCCTTGTGGGCATCAGGAAGATGCTGCTTTCCCATCAGGAGGACCTCCCACCAGGTGGATAGGGGAGATTTTAGGCCAGATCCTCTGCTGCTTGTCTTCTCTTGTCTTCATAGACACTGGGCTCTTGACGGCATGGCCTCTGCCTCCCTCTCTGAGCTTAGCTTGCAGTATTTCATGATGAATGCCTGTCCTGTCTTGTCATGGACAGTCAAGGCTCTGGGATGCCAGGACTTATAGCTGAGTCCTGAGGGAAGATGAGCGCAAAAGTATCAGAGTAGACAAGGGAGAGGGTGCAAGGCTCCACTGTCATTCCTTTGCAGTCTGTCTTTCTTTCCTTCCTTCCTTCCTTCCTTCCTTCCTTCCTTCCTTCCTTCCTTCCTTCCTTCCTTCCTTCCTTCCTTCCATGTGTAACATCTAGCCAGGTCTTCCTGGAGGGCCAGGCTCCCAGGGAGCCCCAGACTGCAGAGGCAGTGGAAATCCAGAGGCTTGCACCATGGCTAGCCAGACTGTGCACCATGGCTAGCCAGACTGTGCACCTCAGATGCTGTCTCCATTTCTCAGAGATCCCACCACAGTATTTATGGGCCCAGGCGTCACCTTCTGCTGCTTGCTTTGAGCCCACAGGGTGGGTGAGGGCGATATTCTCAGTATTCAGGTGATGTGGACTTAAATTTGTCTCAGATTTCTGGTCCCAGGCTGTGCCAAGTCTCTTGCTAAGCAAAACACATTGTCGGGGGTGGGCACAGGGGTGCTGTGCTCAGTATAGGGGCACATTGTTCTACCTTGGGCAAGAAGCTTTGAAATCTTCCCACACCTTGGCTCTGTCCTCCTTCTATGGGTCCAAAACCGGGCATAGCCAAGAATCTTCCTTTCCTTTCTCTCTTCCCCCCGGAGGGTCTGCCTGATTCCATTTGACTCAGTTCAAGCCCACAGTACACCCTGCAGGTGCCTATTTTAGAAGAACTCCTGGTGGCAGTTGAGATTGTGGATGGGTAGGGAAAGGGCAGCATTGTGGGTAGTATGAATGGAGCCTCAGACATGCCCACATTCAGTCTTCTAGGGGAATATTGCTTCAATACTGGGTGGCCTTGGCAACGTTACGGAATCTCCCAGAGCCTTAGTCTTCTCATCTCTTCAACAGACACAGCTCCTGAAGACATGACCTCCACCCCCTTCTCCAGGCTCAGCCTTAGTGCTAGTGAATGGCTGTCCCATCTTGTCAAGACATCCAAGGCTCTGGGTAGCCTGCACTGACAGCTGAATCCAAAGGGGAAATGAGTGGGGAAGTATCAGGATGAACACTAAGAGAAGGAGTGACCCATGAGGCAAATGAACACGGCCTCAAGGAAGCCAGCAGAACCTGGTTAGGGATGCTATTAGGGGATGGGAAGATCCTGGTGAGAGAAAGATACAGGCCCGGAGAAGCTGGTTAGGGATGCTGTTGAGGGGGCGGGAGGCAGTGGGGGATAGATGCTTTTCTGTGTACTGCTTGCTGTGTGCTGGGCACAACTCTAAACTCAGCCCAGAAGACAACTCATTTGATCCTTGCCAGAGCTTCTGAAGGATCTGTGAATAACCCCACTTCCAGAAGCCAAGGCCACATAGCAGGTAAGAGCCCAGGGCAAGATCCCAGCCCAGACAATCATGTATGCCTGGTCTTATCCCACATAGAAAGAGTGGTCCTATGTAAAGATATAACTCGAGATCTACATTGACCAATAGGACATTAGCTCTGCCACATAAGAGCAGAGTGGAAGGTGGGAAGACCTCACAGAGAGCTAGGTGGACAGGAGGCAGGTGCATCCCGCTAGGGTCAGAGTGCCAAGTGAAGGGATGAGAAATTCACAGTGTGATATCAGGAGACAGAAAGGGGCCTCTATTTGGCCTTGGTCCCTGGTCCGCTGTGACATGGAGAAGGCTTTGTGCCACCTCCACACAGGCAGTGTCACCAAGGGGAAGTCCATGGAACTAGAGACCTGCCCTGTGTTCAGCGAACAGCCTTTACTTTCTTTGGCCATCACCCTCTAATCCGACTGACCAGCTTTGAATTCTACACTGTTCTTGGCTAGCCTGGAACCAGAGAGATGCCTTTACCTTCACCTCTACCACAGGGGTCCCACTGTAGGTCAGGGTCCACATCTGTACCCAAAGTTCCTAACTATGGCCTGGTACATAGCAGATGCTCAACTGATGTTTGCTGACTGACTGAGTGACTGGATGCATGGATGGATGGATGGATGGATGGATGGATGGATGGATGGATGGATGGATGGATGAACCCTGTTAACTGGGCTAGGCGGGGTCAATACCATGCCTAGTTCTAGGAGCTTGAGCTCTGAGCTTTTGTTGTTTCTCAGATTGCCTTTGCTTTGATGTTTCCTCAGAGGTTAGCCTGTGGGGCCCATTTCCTGTCTCTAGGATGTGCCCTCATTGAAGAGGGCAGAGGTGGCCCTGGCAGGGAAGGAGGCAGGAGGCCAGAGCCAAGGCTCCAGCTGCTCTTCCTTTACCTGGGCCCTATCCAAGTAGAGCTTGTGCCCTAGGGGCCACCTCACAGGAGCCAGGGGGTCTGGCTGGACCTACTTCTCCTCCTGGGTCTGGTGACATGGTCCCTCTAAATTTAGGCTTCTGCCTAAGTGTGGCAGATTTATGGACCTTGTGTCTTGGGCCTGCAACCGGGAATCAGCCCCTCCCTGCCTCTTCTTTCTGCTGTCCAAGGTCAGGGAAGGAACCAGGGAGGGAGAGCTCCTCCCACTATCGAGTTCATTCAGCGTGTCCAGTGAACTGTGCTCCGGGGACACAGTGGGGAAGAAAAGAGGAAAAGGAGAAAGGAGGAGGAAAGGGACAGGGAAGGAGGAGGAGGGCAGAGTGGGGAGGAAGGGGGAAGGGAGGAGGGAGAAGGAGGGGAATGGGAAGGGGACCAGAAGAGACAGCTGAGTTTGGGATCCACTGGGATTCAGGGGAGGCAGTAATGGAGCTATGTATCCTGAGGATGGGGCTGGACAGTTTATGGAGAGGTCACTGCTTTCCACACCATTGGGGCCAACAATCTTAGTGAGACTCTCAGTGTTCAGATATAACTTACAGGGTGTGGGACCTCAAGTGAGGCATCTGGTGGTCTTCTCACGCCTGCAGTTCTGCCAGTGCGTGCCTTGGTGAGCCCCTCTTCCCAAGATGTCCCCCTTCAAGTCCCAAATCATCTGCCAGGCCTAGGGGGTGGGGACTCTGGCCTCCTCGCTCTGCTCTTCTCTCTGAGAGCTGCTGAGGGTCTTTCTTCCATCCTGTCCCCGTTTCTCCCCTGGTCCCTGGCCCTGAAGTGGTGGTGGTGGAAGGGAGGCGTTGTTTGCTGTTGTGTGGAGGGAGCTGGCCAGCAGGAGGACTTAGGGCAGGATTTGGTCTAAAGGGACTCTCCCTATTTATCAACTTACCTAGTGACCACTTGGCCTAATAGTCACCTCTGACCCACAGAGTCCGTCTGAATGTCATAAAAATAGCCTGATATTAATATCTGGGTTTTGTTAAGGCAACAGAATCAATTGCTTATGTAGGATTCTGCTCGGCCCTTCACCAGCAGTGACCTTGAACCCTGATCTCTCTCCTCAACTGACAGATGGGGATAGGAGGGTCTTAGGTCTGGTTCCCTGTGTTGTCTTGGAGCCTGAAGCAAGGAAGCACATGGCCCCACAAGCTCTGCACAGCCAGCTGCATAGAAAAACAAGCAAAATCAGGATGTGGGGCAGGCCATCCTCCCCACCCCTGTGGATCTAAGGCGCACTCTTCAGAAGTTAGACTTTGGAATAGGCACACCAGACCCGCTGTTTCCGATCAGATGGAGTAAATGCAGGGGACTCTGAGCTGTGCCATCATTCTAGAGCTGCAAATTCAGGGCGTCTGAGGTCTGCGGAACTCGGTAGGCAGTGCCTGCAGACAAATTGCTTAAAAAAAATACTTAAACACTGGCAAAATGGCAAAACCAGAGACTAAATTAGCTGATTAGGTTAGAAAACACTCAGAAGGGAGTTACATTTTTTTTGGTGGAAAGTCATTAGATGACAGGCTTCTGGGAAATGGCCTTGTATATGCTGCAAGGGGTAGCGTAGGGGGAGATGCAGAAGGGTGGGCACGAACTCAATTTTGGGAAGGGATGGAGAGGATTATGTAAGGCTCAATTTTCTGCAACTTTTTGGACATTAGACTTCTCTGTGTCTCCTCTCTTTGCTGGGCCTTCTCTGGACAAAAACCAGCACCTGGGGCAAGGAGCTCAAGGGAAACCAACCCTGTCCTGAGGTGAAGGGCTGGAACTGGCTGAGTGGGGCTGGACTCCTGGGGCCTTCACAGAGGTTAGATGGACGACATGGCAGCTAGGTGTCTTTATTTGACATGCTCAGGATAACAAATGTTTCCGACTTTGGAATTTCCCAGAATTTGGAATATTTATATATACTTCACTGGTTAAACCTCCATAATCCCCAAATTTGAAATCCCAAATGGAAAATTTACTTTACAAGCTTGGGATTTTGGAGCAATTCTTCTAGTGTGCTTGCTCTGCCTGAACCGCCACTCTGGGGACCAGCACAGGACCTGGAATGTGGGATGCACCATGTCTCCGAGGCCCTGAGAGGCCCCCGAGGGTAAGCTGGAAACCCTCGTTCAAGACTGGCTATATCCTCCAGGATCTGGAAGAGCGGACAGGGAGAGGAATATTCCCCCTTTCTCCTCTGCTGACCTGTCTCCTGTAGTTCAGACCCAGCCCCACCCCTGATTAGAAGTCTCCCTATGTATCTGGGACAAAGATCTGTTCTGGAGGCAAAGCCCCTAGGCCTGGCCCCTGACAGCCTCCCCAGCCCTCCTTTCATATCCACCACAGGCCTCCTCTCTCAAGACTTCTCTACTCCCTGCCAGGGTCTCTCACACCTTTTATCTCTTTCTGAAGACCCAATTTACAAAGGTTATAAATACACACGGTTTCTTTGCTATTCTTCCTGCCAGGGCCCTTTCTGGCTGTGAACACACCAGGACAGAAGCCCAAGGTGGCTTTCCACAGCTGCACCCCTCCTCAGTGGGGACTTATTAAGTCCAGATTGGGTCAGTGAGAGAGCTATGTTCCTCCCGCTGCTTTTCCACCACACTGCTGCCTCCATCTCAAGCTCTCATTTCCCTGGGGCCTAGAATCTCAGAATAGTTGGCCAAGGACCCAGAAATCAATCCTATTACCAAGAAGGCCTGGGGCAAGGAAGGGCTTGGGGGTCAGAATGACCAGGGTATATTTACACTCCATCTGCTGGTATGCTGAGTAACTTTGGGCAAGGTACTAACTTCTTTCTCAGGCTGGGGATCTTAGGGAAGGTAGAGAAAGGCCTGGGCTGATCCTGAGGGATGTTGAATATCATGGCCCATACGTCTGTCTGGTACCCACCTCTTGGCCCTGGCCAGGCCTCACTCGAGGAGGACAGGGCCCTGATGTTCTCACACCTGACACCCGCATCTAGAGTTTTCTCCACACAGGCACAGCGCCTCTAGGCTTGACGTGTGTCCTCACAGTTGTTCTTTAGGAGAACCCTAGTGAGGATGCATCTCCATTTTCCTGATGAGGACACTGAGGCTGGGCAAGTTTGAGGAGCCTGCCTAAGGTGGCAAAAGCCATATTGCTCCGGCTAGCAGACATATACTAGGTGTCTATAAAACACCTAGTATTGGACAGTTGTCCAATGCATCAGTCTACCCCCGGCACACCTGGGGATACTGAGGTCCAAGATGCTGTCCCCGAGGCTACTTCAGGCATGCAGGATTTCTAGCTTGGCTCTGTCCCTTGGGTCTTTTGAATACAGTTTTTCATGAGAAATGTGGCCCCAGGAAGGTCACCTTGCTGTCTGAGCCTCGGTTTCCCCATATATAAAATGAGAAGACGGTTGGAGGTAGATTGCTTCCAAGCCTGTTTCTGGGAGCCACTCCCTTCCTCAGCTCCTTCTTTTTAGCTGCCAGCATCCTTCACACCAACTCCTCAGACAGCAGGTTTTCTCCCGGCCCTCTGGCCCATGGCTCATTTGGTTCTGGGGGTTAGCAGAGGTGGGGGTTAGCCAGTGGGGGTGGATCTCTTGTGATCTGCTGGGTTAAGAGTGGAGAAGAGCACTGGGAATCATCAGAAGAGGTAGAAGGGGCTGTGGGGGAGGGGAGGCTGGGCATCAGAGAGAGCACTGCTAACCATGAAGAACCCGTCTGCACTTGATGCTGTCTGTCACCTCAGAACCCCGTGCTCATCCACACAGGACTTCCTCTCCTGTCCGGATTTACTCTCCTTGTTCCTTTTCCTGGCCCTTCTGGGTATGAGACTCTGTCTCATTGTCAGAGACATAGATCCCCAGTGCTATCCAGCCACCAAGTCCTGGGACTCCCTTCCAGCCCTCTGTCACCGAGCTGGCAGCTCCCTCCTGTTCTGATGCCCCCAGCACACCCACTCATCAACTTACCTGGAGCAGTGGGAGCAGGAAAAGCAGGCAGAAGAGCTGTGCCCTGGGAAGACAGCCTGGAGCCCCCATGGGACATCAGATACTGCCGCTAGGGGATGGGGACCAGAAGAGGCTGCTTCTGAAAGGTCTGCTGGGTCCCTCCCCAAGGCCTACCCTGCCCTGCTCGACCTACGGCCCAGGTAAAGCCTGGGCACCAGGGCATTCTTCACCGGCCTGCCCCAGGGTAGCAGTGACACCACCCCACAGCCAGCCGCCTCCAGGTTATTTATAGCTGGCTCTGGGCAGCAACTTCTGCAGGCGGCCTGGGGACAAACTCCAGTTCCCAGAGCAGGGCTTAATGTGCATGGCCTTCCCACTAGCATTGCCAGGGCTGTAGCTTCTCAGAGCCAGGAGACAGGAATAGAGAGGTAGGATGGGCCTAAGGATTCATGGTGGCTCCCCAAGGTCTGGCCCAGCACTCCCCACTGGTTTGAGAGGTCCCAAGTACCCAGGGAGCTTCAAACTGGCCTACAAGCCTGGAGGCTCATGGAGATCAGCGTGTTGGTGTGGCACATACAGGAGAAGGTCTGGACCAAGGGATGCGGGTGCCATTTAATCACAGCACAACTTTCCTGTAGATTTGAAATTATCTCAACACATAAACACTGAAAAACAAAAACAACAGAAGCAGTGAGAGCCAGTTGGGGAGGGATTTGGACGTCAGAGAGTTGAATAGGGATCCAGAGTCCTAGAACCAGGTAGAGCTGAGCATCCCTGCTGTAACTGGTGACAGGTGTGGATCTTGGGAGCAGACACAATGCTCCTGGTAAGTGGGCCTTTTGTGAACGGGTTAAAAGCTTAAGCTTAGGCTCTGAGGGGAAGGCATTCCAGGAATGTGATTAAGAGGTAGGTCCAGGCTTTTCCTGGAGGTGCAGCCAACCAGTAGAAGCTGTGGAGAACTCAACCCAGGTTCAAGACACTCAGGCAATCCATGTGTCCTTTGGTCTTTCTGCCCTGTCTGTCCTTCAGAGGTTCTACTCATTCTCTCTAGGCAGGTTTCTCTCTTGCTCCTGCTGGGCCCCCAGCTCCCTCCCTCCTCTCAGGGCCTCAGTGAGAACTGTTACCACTCACCAACTGGGACTGTTCTCTGATTTTCCTGCCTGGATGAGTGTGGCCTTCCCTTCCTGTCTCCTCTCCCCCCCTTCTCTCCCTTTTGACAAAAACTTGACAAAAAAATGACAAAAAAATTTCTTTTTCATTTTGGAGATGACAGGGTGTAGGGGAGGCGACTTCTTTCCTAACCCCTAGACAGGAAGTGGCTTTACTGGACTCAGGCAAATGGCCTTGGTCAGAGAGGGCTCTTGTAGGAGGTAAGGGCTCAACAGGACCTGGGGTGCTAGGCTCTGAGAGAGTTGACTGGACCAGCAGGAGAGTGTGCAGTTTTGTTGAGTCCACTTTGTAGAGCATGCCTGGGACCTATCTCTCACAGTGAGTGACAAGATCAAAGAGGATGTCCTCAGGATAAATACCACAGCCTCCAGGAGAAGGGCAGAAGAAGGGGTGGGGAGGGAAAAGGGAAGAGAGAGGGGCTTAGAGAAAGAGTGGGGCAGAAAAATAAGGGAGATGAAGGGAAGGCATTGCAGGAGCTCTGGGCAGTTCATGGGTTGAGTTGGGGACTTCCTGGGGTAAGTGTTACAGGCACACTTTGACAGACTTAGGACAATGGAAAAGGGGAGAGCTCCAGTCATTTGAGGGAATCAAGATGAGCGGTAGGCAGGAGCTGGGCCAGGGCAGGATGGCTGGAGTGTGGCCAGAATCTAGCTGAGGTAGGGATGGTGTGGCCCAGAGTGGGAGACAGGCTGGTGTTGTGACACTCAGCACACATTCCTTCCTGGCAGGTTTGCCTTGGTCACTTGGCTGCTAGGGCACAATGCCACATGCTGGGTGGGCCTTCATGGCTCCCAGGGCTGGGGAATCTGAGATGTGATTGCCAGTGTTGTCAGTCCCAAAGAGGGTCTCCTTGATTTGTAAATGGCCATCTTCTTGTGTTTTCTCTTCTTATAAGAGGAAGAGTCCTCTCTTGGGGCCACATCCTCACAACTTCATCTAACCTGAAAACCTGATCCATGAACATGGGGGACATCTACACTCAGTCCTTAGCAGTGTTTCTGTCTAAGCTTTCCTGCATTTCCAAATACATGTCCATACACAACCTGGATCACTGTTTGACAAACTGCCTTTAAAAAAACTAAATTTGCTTTTTAACCAGGTAGAATCCCCAAGTATCCAGCATCGTGTCCCTTTCCAACCTCCAGGGCAGCCCTAGCATCACTGACAAAAGATCCTTTGCCTGGAGGAATTATTGACTCTCCAGAGCTCCCCCAAGAGACCAAGCTGAAGCATTGCCTAAGATCTTTCTATTGGCTGTCCAACCCTCTCTTTTTTTTAATTGCTTCTTTTATCACATCATTTCTCCTTTCCTTTTTTCCCTTTCAAATCCTACCACATACCTCATCTTGGTCTCTTTCAAAATTATGGCCAATTTTCCATTAACTATTGTTACATACATATACATTCTTAAATACAAAAGTCTGTTCAGTCTGTATAATGTTATTTTTATGTATATGTTTTCAGGGCTGATCATTTGGTACTGCATAACCAATCAGTGTCTGGGGAAGACAATTTCTCCTGCTCTCAGCATTTCTTAGTTGCCTGTAGGCCTTTGTGTAGGGTTGGAGCCTCCTGGCCCTTCCCTCATCTACTCTAGTATGTCTTTTGTTGTTGTCATTGTTCAGTTCAGGTTTAGGCAGTTATGTTGGTGAGACTTTATGGGGGTAACTTTGACACAGTCACATAGCAAACTCCCTGATCCTCTAGCTCACACAATCTTTTGGCTTCCTAGCCCATAAAGTCTTATATGTAGGCGTTGATCGGTAGATGTATCTGTTGGGACTGGACTCCCAAACTCTGCATTTTGATTGGTTGTGGTTTTCTGTAATGATTCCTGTCTTAGTCAGGGTTTCTATTGCTGTGGTGAAACACCAAGAACAACAGGCAAGCTGGGGAGGAAAGGGTTTATTTGGATTACATTTCCACATCATAGTCCACCATTGGAGGAAGTCAGAACAGGAACTCAAGCAGGGCAGAAACCTAGAGGCAGGAGCTGATGCAGAAGCCATGGAGAGGTGCTGCCTCCTGGCTTGCTTACAATGACTTGCTCAGCCTGCTTTCTTATAAAACCCATGACCAGCAGCCCAGGGATGGCACCACCCACAATGGGTTGGGCCCTCCCCGATTGATCTCTAATTGAGAAAATGCCTTACAACTGGATCTCATGGAGCCATTTCCTCTACTGAGGCTCCTTCCTCTCTGATGGCTCTAGCTTGCATCAAGTTGACTCACAAAACTAACTAGCACAGTCTCAGTCTGTTGCACAGAGAAATTTCCTTACTGAGGGATGAAGGCCACACCTTTCCGTGGGTATAATGACAGATATTTAGAATGTAGTTAGGGGTTATGTTGGTTAAGTAAAGTGGTGGTTGTAGGTTCACCTTCAAGATCCATGATGTCACTAGCCCTGGGGCGTTGGCTAGGTTTCCATTACCAGGCATGGTTTCCCTCTTGCTCAGCAGACTTCCTTAGAGAGATGGTGGTTATCACCAAGGTATGTGTACCACTACTGCACCTTTAGAGTTATAATGCCCGTGCTTGTTGTTGATATGGTTGTTCATGGGTGACACAGTTCTGTAGGACTGTTGGTTGCGTCTGGAAACTTGCATGGTACCTTCTAGTACCATGAAACCTGGTCCTCACAGAAGAGGCTTTTAGGTCAGTTTTAGCTCAGGGGCCTCTGGGTTCTGTGTCTGAAGTGCATGGTGTCTTCATCAATAGTGGCATACCTTCTGTCACTGAAGGGTAGCCAAAGACAATAGCAAGAGTCTGGAATGTTTTGGGAGTCTCTTGTACAACCCTGGCCAACATCAATAGAGGGCTTCTCATGCTTGGTGTTAGGGTTTTGTTAGATGGTCATTGGCTCCTAAAGGGAGCATTGTCAGCTGAGATGGGGAAATTTAATTTAAGCCACATGTGTGTATTTACATGCTGACTTAATGAAAGTAGTTAATAATATGATTTCTTAAGACTTTTCCAGATATCCTTCATCCTTCTTCTGTATTTATCTCCATCCCTCTCTCTAATTAGAGTCCACCCATCTTTCCTATTTGCTCAATCAGGTCACTTCTACTCTGCTATTCCTCTTTCTACCCTCCCCCCATGCCAGAAACGGTCTCTTTTTTTTTTCCTGGTTTTGCAATTACTCCAGGATAGTTACTTAATCTGAAGACTTGAAGCTAGGACCTTAGATGAAATAGAACATGCAACATTTGTGTTTAAGGGTCTAGGTTATCTCGCTCAGTATGATCCTTTCTTATTCCTTCCATTTACCTGCAAGGTTTATGATTTAGTTTTTCTTTTCAGCTAAATAATGTCCCATAGTGTGTATGTACCACGGTTTCATTATCAATTCATTGAAGGACATTTATGTTGCTTCCATTTCCTACCTATAGTGAGGGGAATGTGATAATCACGACACTATAGAAACAAAGCTCCATTTCCTAGCTATTATGATAGAGCAGCAATGAGCATGACTGAGCAAGTGTCAGTGGAGGAGGGTGCTGAGTCCTTTGAGCAGATGCTAAGGAGTGGTACAGCTTGGTCATATGGTAAGTTTATTTTTAACTTATTGAGAATTCTCTATACTGGTTTCCATAGTGGTGCCTCCAGTTTGCAATCCCACCAACAGTGAGTGGGGAGGAGGGCTCCCCTCACCCCACATCCTCTCCAGCATTTGTTGTGAGTTGCTTTGTTGATCTTTATCATTCTGACTGGAGTGAGATGAAATCTCAAAGTTGCCTTGATTCTCATTTCCCTAATTGCTTAGGATGACAAATACCTTCTGAAATATTTCGTAGCAAATTTCTTCTTCTCCTCTCCTCCTCCTTCTTCCTCTTCTCCCCCTCCTCCTCTTCTGAGAACTGTCTGTGTTTTCAGGTTCCAGGCCCAATTTTTGAATAGGTCATTTGTTTTTTGAA